TGCTTGCATGGCCAAGGAGCGGGACACTATTCCAATAATCTAAAGAATGCCCATGTGCATCCCTACTATGAGATAAGATTCCCATTCTTATATTGAATTATTTCAACATAATTGCAAGTATGCAATATTTAATAAATATCTCACTAGCAGAAACTATCCAGCTTTGGAATTCAAACCATGGGCTCAATCGGTGACCTAGTCACCTTCAGTTCTGTTTGTACCATATCTGACCCTCCACTCGTACAACGACACGTGGATCTTATAAACTCGCCCAAGTACCCAAGGCCTCGGACAATCGGCATCGGCCACCGATGGCATTGTCTCAAAGCTGCGAACAGCCATTACGCGCCCAACTCGTCTACAATCGGCATCCCTTACCGATTGTAGAGAATCAACCTCGAAGTACCCGCCCAAAATATCTAAGGACTCGTGTCGACCTCAGAAGGCCTTCCCACGAGTCCCACATCGAAAATGAGCACTAAGAGCATACTAAATGCCCTCTATAAATAGGCCCCTTCCACTACAATACAGGGGTAAGACTTTTCAGCTTGACTTTTATACTTCTATATGGTCAACAGCAAGAGCTCTTAAAACAACAAACTTACTTCGGCATCGGAGGGTCTTAGGCTGGTTCCACACCGGTTCCATAGACCTTACGAGTCTCGACTTCTTTCTATTCAGTATCAGCATCCAAGGACAGGAAGAATCGGCATCCAATATTCAATCGATCTCTCGATCGTCCATCTCGATTGTAAGTTGCACTCATCTCTATCTGTTCAGATTTAGCGCCAACACACCATATTATGACGTTGCCCAAGTTTTGGGCTCGATCCGAAATCAATATGTGTAAGAAATTGGACAATTCAAGTTCAAAGGCAGTTTGTTCCTAATCGGAGTGGTTGGTGTATTCCACAGTTCTAGAAATCAGATTTCACTGAAAACTAACCAAATGACTCCTCCCAACGTATTATGATGTTGCCCAAGTTTTGGGCTAGATCCGAAATCAATAGGTGTAAGAAATTGGACAATTCACGTTCGACAGTAGTTCGTTCCTAATTGGAGTGGTTGTTGTTTTGGGTAATTCTAGAGATCGGATTTCACTCAAACTTAACCAAATGACTCCTCCCACCATATTATGATGTTGCCCAAGTTTTGGGCTCAATTCGAAATCAATAGGTTTGAGAAATTAGACAATTTATGTTCAAAGGAAGTTCGTTCCTAATCAGAGTGGTTGGTGTATTCCATAGTTCTAGATATCGGATTTCACTCAAAACTAACCAAATGACTGCTCCCACCATATTATTATGTTGCCCAAGTTTTGGGCTCGATCCGAAATCAATAAGTGTAAGAAATGGGACAATTCAAGTTCAAAGGCAGTTCGTTCCTAATTGGAGTGGTTGGTGTTTTCGGTAGTTCTAGAGATCGGATTTCACTCAAACTTCATCAAATGACTCCTCCCACCATATTATGATGTTGCCCCAGTTTTGGGCTCGATCCGAAATCAATACGTGTAAGAAATTGGATAATTCAAGTTCAAAGGCAGTTCGTTCCTAATTGAAGTGGTTGATGTTTTGGGTAGTTCTAGAGATCGGATTTCACTCAAACTTAACCAAATGACTCCTCCCACCATATTATGATGTTGCCCAAGTTTTGGGCTCAATTCGAAATCAATAGGTTTGAGAAATTGCACAATTTATGTTCAAAGGCAGTTCGTTCCTAATCGGAGTGGTTGGTGTATTCCATAGTTCTAAAGATCGGATTTCACTCAAAACTAACCAAATGACTCCTCCCACCATATTATTATGTTGCCCAAGTTTTGGGCTCGATCCGAAATCAATAGGTGTATGAAATTGGACAATTCATGTTCGAAGGCTTTTCGTTCCTAATCGGAGTGGTTGGTGTATTCCATAGTTATAGAGATCGGATTTCACTCAAAACTAACCAAATGACTCCTCCCACCATATTATGATGTTGGGCAAGTTTTGGGCTCGATCCGAAATCAATAGGTTTAAGAAATTGGACAATTCAAGTTCAAAGGCAGTTCGTTCGTAATTGGAGTGTTGGTGTTTTGGGTAGTTCTAGAGATCGGATTTCTCTCAAAACTAACCAAATGACTCCTCCCGCCACATTATGATGTTGCCCAAGTTTTGGGCTCGATCCGAAATCAATAGGTGTAAGAAATTGGACAATTCAAGTTGAAAGGCAGTTCGTTCCTAATCGGAGTGGTTGGTGTTTTCCATAGTTCTAGAGATCGGATTTCACTCAAAACTAACCGAATGCCTCCTCCCACCATATTATGATGCTGCCCCAGTTTTGGGCTCGATCCGAAATCAATAGGTGTGAGAAATTGGACAATTCAAGTTGAAAGGCAGTTCGTTCCTAATCGGAGTGGTTGGTGTTTTCCATAGTTCTAGAGATCGGATTTCACTCAAAACTAACCGAATGCCTCCTCCCACCATATTATGATGCTGCCCCAGTTTTGGGCTCGATCCGAAATCAATAGGTGTGAGAAATTGGACAATTCAAGTTGAAAGGCAGTTCGTTCCTAATCGGAGTGGTTGGTGTTTTCCATAGTTCTAGAGATCGGATTTCACTCAAAACTAACCGAATGCCTCCTCCCACCATATTATGATGCTGCCCCAGTTTTGGGCTCGATCCGAAATCAATAGGTGTGAGAAATTGGACAATTCAAGTTGAAAGGCAGTTCGTTCCTAATCGGAGTGGTTGGTGTTTTCCATAGTTCTAGAGATCGGATTTCACTCAAAACTAACCGAATGCCTCCTCCCACCATATTATGATGCTGCCCCAGTTTTGGGCTCGATCCGAAATCAATAGGTGTGAGAAATTGGACAATTCAAGTTGAAAGGCAGTTCGTTCCTAATCGGAGTGGTTGGTGTTTTCCATAGTTCTAGAGATCGGATTTCACTCAAAACTAACCGAATGCCTCCTCCCACCATATTATGATGCTGCCCCAGTTTTGGGCTCGATCCGAAATCAATAGGTGTGAGAAATTGGACAATTCAAGTTGAAAGGCAGTTCGTTCCTAATCGGAGTGGTTGGTGTTTTCCATAGTTCTAGAGATCGGATTTCACTCAAAACTAACCGAATGCCTCCTCCCACCATATTATGATGCTGCCCCAGTTTTGGGCTCGATCCGAAATCAATAGGTGTAAGCAATTGGACAATTCCAGTTCAAAGGCAGTTCGTTCCTAATTGGAGTGGTTGGTGTTTTGGGTAGTTCTAAAGATCGGATTTCACTCAAACTTTACCAACTGACTCCTCCCACCATATTATGATGCTGCCCCAGTTTTGGGCTCGATCCGAAATCAATAGGTGTAAGAAATTGGACAATTTATGTTCAAAGGCAGTTTGTTCCTAATCGGCGTGGTTGGTGTATTCCATAGTTCTTGGGATCGGATTTCACTCAAAACTATCCAAATGACTCCTCCCACCATATTATGTTGTCGCCCAAGTTTTGGGCTCGATCCGAAATCAATAGGT